CGGCCGGCCGGCTGGCCCGCCCGCCCGCTCCGATAATCGTCCTCCGACACGACGGCACGTAAACATCAATCGCGTACACTCACCGCAAACGTTGAGCCAGCCCTCGACGCGGCAGGGATACTCCAGCTTCATCTTCGGTCCCCCGTGCGCGCGGATCGCGCGGAATCCAGGTCGCGGTTGACGCTGCTCCTCCTTCTCCTCCTCCCCGCGGCGCGGCGGGTCAGGCACTGATCGCACACAAACTTCTCCTCCCCCCCCTGCCCCGCCGACCGAGTATCACTGGGAAACGATACCGCCGTGCGATACCGCCGCGGCACACATTCTTCCGCGACGCGGTTACGCGAACACGCGGGGCCTCCCTCTCTCTCTCTCTCTCTCTCCCTCTTCGTGTCCTCGCGACACGAGGGTGACACGCGGCGGGTGGTACGCTGACCGAACGCTGGCGGGGAACACTTCGCGAGCAGGTGCCGCGAGAGAGAAACGCGCGCGCGAGGGAGGAACGCGGCGAGGACAGCGCGGATTTCAGCGCGCGAACTGTACGCTCACTTCGGGCGAGCGCGCGCGCAAACGCGAGACACACGCGACGACGACCGAATCCGAACTGAGGCGGCGAGCGAGCGGCGCGGCCGGCATGGCTGGCTCCCCCTCCCCCTTTCGCCCGCGCTTTCGCTCTCTCTCGCTCGTTGACGCGCGCGCGCGCGCGCGCGCGCTCCGTTTTCCACAATTTCCACCCGCGCCGATCGTTCTCGCTCGTACCTTTCGCTCTCGTTGTCAGGTGGCCGGGCGCCGCTCTCGCTGCCGCTCGCTTCGCGTCCCTCGAGCGCGTAATCACCGCCGACGATCACCGGTGTCACTCGACAAATCGGCCGCTTTGATCCCCGATACCGGCGCGTCGCGCTGAGGTTCGACACCTGCGGGCTGTTGTGAAAATACACGCGCGCCGCGTTGCGGACCCGCGCGAGATTAGCCCCGGGGTTCGATCGTAAATCCTTTCCTCCGGCGGGAATTCGCGAGGGGTAAAAAAGGACTTTTGTCGAGGAATTCAATATTCCAAGGTTTTCACCTTTCACGAGCTCATTTTCTTTCGTAGCCGAGAAACACAGCAAGAGAAAATTGTTAGGCACCCACCCTCCTAATTATTGCACTGTACTGAATCTAATACCTGGAAATTTCAATATTAAAAAAATGTTTAGTAAAGCGTCCGTTGCTGCTATGCGGTAAACAACTTTTAAACGATAAAAATCTTTCTATTGTGGTATTAGATTCTGTACGGTGTGCATTGGAAATCTAATAGCGAATTCGACAGCTTGCACTAGTGTGCACTAAGGCTTGTTTACAGTCAATTCTTATATTTAAGGATCGTCTTGAATACTTTTCGAAATAACCATCATTAAGCAGTTGATCGACCATGGCTGGCGATGTGTTTTTAACACAGAAAATTTATTGCGACTATATAGAGACGACAGAACGCGCGCTTTGGCGCGCGCGCGCAATTTGTAGTCGAGCGTTGTATATTTAAAAAAATTTGTATACATGGAAAGAAGTAATTGTATGCGCAACATCATTTTAAAATAAAAAGTAATTCGTCACTCACTGATACGATTCGCAACCGCAGCGTTGTACATCGTTAACCATATATGTTTAAAGTACTGTAACAATACAAATATGTATGTGATTATTATAGACTAATTATGTAAAATCGAAATTATTGCATTAAATATACTTTATATTTTATATTTTTTAAAATAGGTATTTGTTGAAATAATTGTATAAAATATTGAAAAAGTCTTCCTTTTAAATGTGAACTAACAAAATTTTATACATATGGTTTTGTCTCTAACACACATTCCAATCCTCGTTCGAATCATTTGAATAAATAAAATAAAAACACAGAACAGATACTTTATTTTGCACAAGTAGCAAATAGCATAAAAATGTAAGACACTCACCTCACCGATTTCTCCGTTGTTGCCCGGTGCCCCCTGGGCCTCCTCTTCCTCTTTTCCTTGTTGCACTCACACACACTCACTCGCGAAAATCATCGATCGCGCGAAATTTCAGGCACTCCCGTACGCGATGTGAAATACCGCGAGACGCACGAAATATTAATATTAACAAAGATCGCGTGACTCTCTATCATACAAATTATTCAAATTAACAACTTGCATTTTAGATTCGGAAAAATAGGATAATGGATAAAACACTTTTGAATTGGCGATATAAAACGCAACGCGAGCATCGAAAGCATAATCTGCAGTAAAGAAGTGGTTATTAGTCCGCGACGAAACGTATTTTACAATCTTTGTCATTCAAGCTAATCCTCGAAATAAATTATGTGAGCGAAATTTCCAGCGACAAATAGTTGTTATTAATTGCAACAGTTAATCGAGATAATTTTCGATTACATTTACATAATGTAACGATGTGCGATAAGCGACTTTCCTTACCTCCTGCCCGTTCGAGTTGCGAAGAACCACAGAGCGAATTACAGCGCGAACGCCGAAGTCGCACAAATTTCTCTCTTATCCCGAAAATGGAACAGATAGTCTCGTGAAATATCTATGTACGCGTTGATAAAGAGCCGTCGCCTCAACTTGCAATTCGTTTCTCATTACAAGTTGTGGAAACTTAATAATTAATCGAGGAACGTTACTTGTTACAGATGAAGGTGTGCAAATCAATAATGTTTTATCCCTGCATTCATCGCGATCGAGTCTTGGAAACCGATAACGCAAAAGTAATACCACGCACGGAGCGACTCTCGCCACAGCCTACCGGCACGACGTTCGGCGAGCGAGTGATAGCGCAGCGACCTTCAGATACACACGATGGCACGCAAAAACACCGTACGTCACCGCGCCGAGAGAACAACAACGAACGTTGAGAATTCGTTGGCTTTTTTGTTCCGTGACTGTTACTATGTTTTGCGTATCATTTTACGGACTTATTGATTAAATTAACGATTAATTCTGCTTAATCGAGAAAATATTTCGAAACAGAAATCGTTGTTACTTAAATTCTAATTACTATGATTAGAGATTTTACTTCAATAGTTGATGCATACAAATGTAAATCTCTAAATTGCAAATCTTCATTTACTACGAATCTAACGATTTACTACGAATAACTTTCGCAACGATTACGCGATCTAACAATGAATTTTCCACTAAACAGATTTCACTCCACGGGAAATAAATCCATGGTGGAGTCGTCAGATGACGCCTATTAATTTAGCGGACACTCCGCTGTCTCATATTAGAATCCTATCTCGTAATAGGGGACTTTCCTCTATGTGTATAAAAGTAGCACACTTACAATTAGATTTACAGTATAATGATCGAGGAGAGTGCCTAGTAATTTTGTTTATGGCTGTACGTTTAGAAAAATTCGTGCAAGTAGACAAATTGTTGTATCGCACGTTGCTGATAAACCTTTTAAGCATATTGATTTGCGAAGAGCACATTGTAAATCAGACTTATTCCGGGTATTATTCGACTTGTCGTCCGACAAATTTGTCAAACGTATTGATCGGCTGCGGGATAGAAAAGTTGTCAAGTGTCTATTTTGCAGTCGATCGATGCACTTAAAAAATTTGTCGTACGACGAATGAAATATCTCGCAGAGTGGCGTCGAGAAATGATAAAAAAACAAAGTTACACGAAAGCGGTATTGTTGGTGCCTCACCATTTGCGTGGACTATTTTGTCTCTCTCGTGTTCTATCTAATGTTTAACCCTTTCACGACCGAATTAATTTTTTCTTTTGACGTTACTGTTGATTAAAATGATTTTAGTGTCAAAATAATTATATTGTAATATATAATATTGTAATATTATGATATAATATTATATTATTATATTGTATAATATCATTAATATCTAATAATTATATAATATGTGTTCTTGAAGTGACAATTATAGTAGTTAAATGAGACTGTAATATCGATGAAACGTAAGATTATTAAATGTTTCTAAAAAGATTATAGATTGTTGCGTGTATACAAAACAATATACGTTCATTTGAGTATATAAGAGTTGAACTGACACTTTTTTCCGTGCAATATCGTCAAGTATTGTATTTGAACTGATCAGGCAATGACTAAACCAATTTACTAGCTATTTACTATTTGATATGCGTATCATACGTGCAAACTAAACGGAGAAAATTTTCTCTTAAAATTTATTCCGAAAATTATGTAATCGTGGGACAACGTGGCAGTTTGAAGAACTTTATAAGAGTTTTGTGAAATTTTGTCATACGTTCGACTAGTAAAATGTATGGTGAATTTTCAAACAACTCTCATAAAGTTCTTGAAAACGCCACGTTGTCCCTGGCGAAAATAATGTGTTTATTAAAAGTTTATAACAAGTTTGTTTAAACGTTGTGTCAATGTTTCACTTGAGTTTTAAAACATTTATCGAACTGTTTGTAAGATATAAATTTAAACGTGGAGTTGTTTGTGACATGTTCACAGCTACACGTCAAATTGCGTTTAATGATATAGTGTCAAAAGTTTCCATTATAGTTTTCTAAGTGTTTGCAAAACGTTATCGTCAGCAAAGAATCAACCAGGTGTTTGCAAACGGTGTAACCATCAATAAAACTCTTCGTAAACAAAGTAACTATCGGCAAAACTCTTCATAAATAAATACAAACATCATCTCTCACTAAAAATTTTCGCCAGGGGTCGCGCGATCGCAAGATTTTCAGGGTAAATTTGAAGAAAAAACCCCCTGTATAGCGGCACGTTTCCTATTATGAGACAGGCTCCTAGTGTGAAAGCAGGCGTCTCATATTACGAACCTATCTCTCCTCTATACAATTTCAGACGCATATCTTCGAAGAAATGCAAGAAAAAGAGAGCGCGAGAGCGGCCAAGTAAGCGTTCGGCTAATCGGAATAAATCGCCAAGTGATAAACGAAGCGGGGGCGCGGACCGTATCGCGCAGGTGCCGATCGAAGCGGGACGGCTTCGCGGCCAACTTCGCGCCGCTCGCGCGGCGCGCGGCGCCCCGCCATCTGGCGGGCCAGCTCCCACTCAGTCCTGTCAAAATGGCGCTCAAGGCACAAGTCGGTCAAAGTGAGTAGCGTGAAAAAAGCGTTAAATTCGCGCGGCGTTGGGATCTACGTGTAAACGTCGTCGACGCGACGTCGTCGGGCGACTCGCGCCGCGTGCCGATCGCGTCGATCTCGCGCCTGCCGATCCCGCGGTCGCGTCGCCGACGTCCATCTCGATTGGGGCGTACGCGCCCGCGCCCCTCCGCTCCCCCCTGCGATGATTTCATCGGGCGACGAGGAAACGTCAAACGCCGCGGCGAAGACAATCCTCGTCGCGTCTTTCCCCGAGGACTCGCGATCGGCGCGAACGCGATCCTCGAGTGTCCGCCTCGTGTCGATCGTCGCGAGTCAATTGTCGCGCCCGGGCGCGCGGGACTCCCGTTCCCGCGTCTCCGCGACGTCAAGAGCGCTCCTTTTAGCGGGATTATCGTTGATTTTCAGTAGCCGCTCCGCGGGTTTTAACGCCCGGCACTCGCCCCGGGAAGATCGGCGAGACGTAAACGCGGGACACTCTCGTGGGAATCCGCGCGAGTATTTTTCCACGTCTGCGATCGTCCGGTGGGCGCGCGATCACGTCATGACGGAATTGGGGGGGGGTTGGGGGGGGGGTCAAT